GTTGCAGCTTTTAGATAAAGAAGATGTGGTACTACATATATTCAATGGAATATTACTCGGCCGTAAAAAATAATCAATATTAGAAAATTTGCATACTAGAATTTCTAATATTAGAATATTAGAAATTTTGCCATTTGTGACAACATGGATGGACCTAGAGGGTATTATATTAAGTGAAATAAGTCAGATTGAGAAAGACAAATGATTTCATTTGTATATGGTGTCTAAAAAACAAAATAAATGAATAAATAAAACAAACTCAGATATAGATAACAAATTGATGGTTGCTAAATGGGAGGGAGGGTTAGGAGGATGGGTGAAAAGGGGGATGGGATTAAGAAGTACAAATGGTAAGATATAAAAACAGTCACGAGGATGTACAGTACAGCACAGGGAATATAGTCAATAATATTGTAATAACTATGTATGGTGTCAGACGGGTACTAGACGTATCAGGGCGATCACCTCGTAAGTTATATAAGTGTCTAATCACTATGTTGTACACCTGAAACTAATATAATATTGTATGTCAACTGTAATTGGAAATTAAAAAAAAAATTTTAAATGATAGCCGTTAGCCTGATTTGCATATCTTTGTAGGTAGTCTATGTTTTCTCTCTGGTTTTAGAATTAGCACTGTTTTAGTTGGTGTTCTGAACTTTCACAGTGATGTATTTAAGTTTAGAATTAGTTTTATTTATGCTTTTTGGAATTCATTGGGCTTTTGGACCTGAAGATTGCTGTCCAACAAGAAATTCTGGGAAATTCTCAGGCATTATCTCTTTAAATGTTGCCTCTCTATTACATCCTAGATAAATTCTTCAGATCATTTTCCTAGGTACTAATTTGCTCTTCATCTGTGTTTAATCTGCTTAATTCATCATTGAGTTTGTAAAAAAGTATTATTTAGATATAATTTATATACTATAAAATTCACCCTTAGAGTGTAAATCAGGTGTGCAACCATCCCCATAATCCAATATAGAATATTTTCATCATCCCCAAAAGAAACCTTGTGCCCGTCAGCACGCATTCTCCATCACTCTACTCCCTATTCTTCTCTCCCCCTGGCAGACACTTTCTGTATCTGTGGGTTTGCCCGTTCTGGGCATGTCATAGAAATGGCATCATATTATGTGTGGGCCTTTGTGACTGGCTTCTTTCCCTTAGCATCATGTTTTTGGGGTTCATCCACGTTGCAGCATGGATAAGTGCTTCACCCTTTTTAATGGCCAAATAACATTCCATTTTATAGACAAAACACATCTTGTTTACCCATTCATCGGGTAGTAGACACTTGGGATGCTTCCATGTTTCGGCGGTTAGGTACAATGGTGCTGTGAACACTGGTGTGCATGCTTTCATGGGGACATGTTTTCATCATCCATTGAGCCTTTATTTTTTAATTACACAAGAAATACACTTCTACTTTCTTGTTGTAAAAAAGCCATAATATAAAAGTATATAGTGCAAATAGGAGTGTCCTCTTTCTCCATTTCTACTGCTGGGAGAAAACTATGTAAAATAGCTGGATGTGCTTCCTTTTGGTCTCTTTTGTAAGCTTTTATATAATGCTTGCATAAATAAATCTCTTAACATAAAGGGATTGTGTGTATTTTTAAGACTTGCTTTTTCTTTTTTCAGTATGTTTTGGAGTTCTTTTGTTGTTAGTACACATAGATCCACATAGTTCTTTTTTTTTTCTTTCCTACACTGATTGAATATTTTTTTGTTTTTAAGATTTTTATTGGGGAATTGGGGGAATGTGAACAGCGGTGGGGAATTGGGGGAAGGGGAACAGACAAGTTGCTGTTGTTTTGTTCTTCAGTCTTGTTGTGGAGGACGTTGCTTCACTGGCCCTCATATGTGGGATCCGAACCGGGGCCCTCTGGCGTCCCAAGCCAGTTCTTAACCATCGCGCCACTCGGCCAGCCCCACATAATTCTTAATAGTTGCAATAGTCTTATTTTCATATGCCATAATTTGTATAACTTACCTGTTGATAGACATATATTGTTTCTGGATTTTTCTCTTATAAACAGTGAATCAGTCAACATCTTTATTAATTTTTTAAAAACATTTACTGAGGCAAATAACATTATGCACCACGCAGTTTTGAATGCTGTGAACACAAAGATAGACCATAATCTCTGCCTGGAGTTCCTCATAGTTATAAAAGCACTACAAGAACATAAAGTAAATTAATTGGGGACGTGGTGCTTTTCCAGCTCAGGAAGATAGATTTTTATCACATCAAGTGTTGCATGCTATTGTCTTCTGTGTAATTTCTCATTTGGTCCTTATTAAATTTTTATGTATCTTTCTAGATCCTGAAAAGTGGAATTGTTGCCTCAAAGCATAGAACTCGTATCCCTGCAGGATTTCTGTTTGCTTCTGTTGGTTGCCTGGGGCAATGCTTCATGGACCACTTTTGATTAAATTCTTGCCTGAGGTTTCTCAGGTTGCAGTTCAGACTGCAAACCCATGTAGGTGTCCGCTTGAGGTTATGACATTTCATGGAAGAATTTTTTCCCCCTCTGCCTATTGCTAAGTTCAAAATAGGCACGTTTCACTATGGTCCCCTTCGGCATGCTTTGCCTTGTTCACTCTGACGCTGAGGTCATAGTTTTGTGTAGGTCTTTTAGAGCCCTTGTTTTTGGGTCTTGACCCCCTTTGGTTTGGTAGATGGCCCCAAGGTGAAATTTCACAGTTCCTGAATTCACTTTGTCTTTGTTTTCTATAGAATTACTTAGGGTATCTACTCTGCCGTTGTGCTGCAAGTGAAATCCTGTCTAGTTTTTGAAACCCTCTTCCTTTGGCTTTCCGAATGCCGCAGTCCTGGTTGTCTCCTTTGTGACCACTCTCTCCTTTTGGGCACTACTGTACCCTGAAAGCACGTAGAAGTTATTTACATACTTGTGTCTCTCTTTAGATCATGGGCTCTTGAAAAACAGAATCATTTAGTCTTGTCACTTTTTGCATCCCAGTCTGATTTTTTTTTTTTAATTTTATTGGGGAATTGGGGGAGGGGAACAGACAAGTTGCTCTTCTTTTGTTCTTCAGTCTAGTTGTGGAGGACGTCGCTTCACTGGCCCATGTTGGTATTGTGACCATTGCGCTCTTCCCGGGTGAGGCAGATTGGTCGCTGGCCTCTGGACGGCCACTCACGGCGGCTCATGGTAACTCACACTGGCTGCCAGCCACTCATGCTGGCTGCCAGCCACTCACGGTAGCTTACAACAGCCCACTGCAGCCCCACTGCAGCCTACGCCGTTGCCTCATGGCAGCCCAGTTCCAGGTGGAGCTGTTGTTCACCATCTTAGCTGTAGAGGGTACAGCGTCACTCTCCCTCATGTGGGATCTGAACCGGGGCCCTGCTGTTCAGAGCTGGCATCCCAAGCCAACTCCTAACCAACATGCCACTCGGCCGGCCCCCAGTCTGATTTTTGAAGATGTTAGTTTAAAATAAGAATGAATACCTCCATTTGTTGAAGGCTTTCCATTTCCTAAAAGGGGAAAAAGTTTCAATAAGTAACTGTTAGGCATTAAGATCTGTAGAAGTGTACTTAGAATTCAGAAGGAAAAAAAAATGTTTTCTAATATGCATGCATCAAATTTTAAAATAAAATTGCATTGCCTGG